TCAGAAGAAATTTATTTTCCCACACCAACATTTGTTCTGGAAAAGGCCCTGATTTTTTTCTTAGACTTCTGCTTGTACTCCGGATGCTAATTCCTTTTCACCTGCAGCAATGTGAATTTCAGCTTAATTCTTTCTGGATCCAGGGCTTTTACATTTTTTATTTTCTTCATTTGTTATATTCATGGCATACCTGACCATTCCTGGAGCTTACCAAGTTATGGGATCCAGACAGGACTGGGATACGTGAATGCTCTATTTTCTCAAACTGGAATTGACATTCAATTTATGGCATCAATCAGCTGCTTAGACCACTAATAGTAGTATGCTTGATGTTTCCTTTAACATCTTCTTGCGACAGGACTTGGACATATCCAGTGAATCCGTGTTGTGCAATGTTGATGAGCCAACTGTAAGGAGCCTTAATGGCTGCAGGGTAGCAGATAAAATCCTTAAAGATGTTCCAAATATTGAGGTGATGGTCCCCAACCAAAAAGGAAACAAAAGGCCAATAAATTTTTCAATATTCTAGATCTTGCTAATAATATCTCATTTGTCTTCTGCAATGTAGTTTTTCCGGATCACACTTCGATGTTTAAAGTTTTGGGCTAAACAGCGTGGTGTTTATTCAAATGTAGGTTCACCTTTTTTCCCTACTCCCTCCACTCGGCTTAATTAATGTTTGCTCTTTTCTATGACCTGTTTGTCTTGGATTCTTTTTTAGGTGACTGGATTTCTTGGTGGAGTTAACTGGGCTCTTCTGGTTGCTCGGGTTTGCCAACTCTATCCAAATGTTGTTCTGAGTATGCTGGTTTCTCGTTTTTTCCGCGTATATACACAATGGCGCTGGCCAAATCCTGTGATGCTTTGTCAGATAGAGGATAAAGAATTTGGATTTTCTATCTGGGATCCACGTAAAAATCCTTGGGACCGGACACATCAGATGCCAATTATTACACCTGCCTATCCTTGCATGAACTCAAGCTACAATGTATCTGCAAGTACTTTTCGTGTTATGACAGAATAATTTGAATTTGGTAACAACATATGTCAGGTATGAATTATTCCCCTATGTACATTATGTTGTGTATTTAGCTAGTACAGGCTTTTACTCCTTTTGCTTTTCCATATCAGGAAATTGACCTCAGTAAAGCCCGGTGGACTGCATTGTTTGAGCAGTATCCTTTCTTCGAAAACTACAAGAACTATTTGCAAGTTGACATAGTTGCCGCTGATGATGATGACTTACTTGTGTGGAGAGGCTGGGTCGAATCCCGGTTAAGGCAGCTTACTTTGATGGTAACATCTATACTTTTTGAAATAAGTGATACTCAGGAGGCTCTGGTTCCTTTGTATTTGAGCCTCTACGGAAGAAAAAGGAGAAGGTAGCAAGTGAAGCAGATGTTTACCATTTACTTATAATTCTTGTTGTATCCTTGCAGATAGAGCGGGACACATTTGGGAAATTGCAGTGCCATCCTTATCCTCATGAGTATGTGGACCCGTCCAAACAGTGTGCCCATCGTGCCTTCTTCATGGGTTTGCAAAGGAGGCCAGGGGAGTTGGTTCAAGAAGGTCAGCAGTTTGATATCCGTGGGACAGTTGATGAGTTTAGACACCAAGTAAACATGTATATGTATTGGAAACCAGGAATGGAAATGTTTGTGTCCCATGTTCGTAGAAAGCAGATTCCCTCTTATGTTCTATCAGATGGTTATAAACGAAACCAAACACCAAGGCTAATGAGTGGGCAGCTGGGAGAGAAGCCTGTCTCTGGTATTTTTAGGTCAAGATCCGGAGAAAGAGGAGGTTTGGAAAGGAAAAGAGAGCTTGAAGGTGTGGAAGAGAGTCAGCAGAGTTTGGACAAACGACCATCAATTAGCCCTCCAAGAAGGGAATCACCGTCGCCTGAACTTATTGTTGGTCAGAAAAGTGGCATGTTGTTACAACAGCGTTTCTCAACAGTTTCTGGAGGGAAGAGAAAGAGTGAAGAAATTTCAAATAATGTGACGAATGATAAGATGCAGTTTGCTATTCCGGACAAAGATGTTTATAGTGAACAAAGGAAGTCACGAAGAGCACAATGTGCGGAAAGTGCAGATGGATGTGTATACCAGTCTAGTGGTGTCACAAGCCTTGTCGAAGCTGGTACCTCTGGAGATTCTGCACATGAATTGCTCCGACTCTGCCATGATGGTTATGCAGCGGGCAGTACTGGTTGCAACTCTCTCCGTTCCTCTCAGGATGACTTATACAGAGCAGAGTCCAAGTCACTGTTGAATAATGTATGTGAAAATGGTTCAAGATTTTTTGAAGATGCGTTGCGGGAGTTAGAGGTTTTGAATCAGTTTGTTTTGCCTCTTTTATCTTTCTGACGTCATTGATTTTTATAATTTATACTTCCATTCTTAGCATTTGCCATAACTTTGACCAGTTCTATTCTCTTGTGTTTCATGAAGCCAAAAGCTGCTCGTGGAGTGTTAACATCTCCGGATAGCATTGGATCGGAGTCTGTACAAAAATCTTCTACAAGGCATGTTTCACGATTTGATACTTGCACTTACTTTTTGTTTTATATATCAGTCCTTTTGTCTTTAAAGGCGCTGTATTTTGGTTCTCTTTTATGGTTTGTCTTGTAGGTTGAGTGTTACATCAACAGCTTGAAAGAAGTGGAGTCATGGCATTGAGGGATGAAAAGCCAACTCAACACGGTAAGTATGATGTTACTTGTTGGCTGTCATTTCTCTATGTTTTTTCTAACATTCAGAGAGAGAGAGTCCTGATATTTCGCGGAGAGTTCCAGGCAGAACGGTCCTGTGGGCTCCTGTACAGTTCAGTTTATGTTTTTTTAAAAAAAACACTAGGGACACTGCTGAAGAAGATTGTTCTTCCTACATTCAATAGATCTATAGGTCATGGAAAATCTCAATTGTACTCGGTTTCAGTCTCTTAATTGTATTTGTATTCCGATGACAATTAATGACACCATATTTCAGTCTCTCCATCTTTACCAATTTTCTGTTTCCTATGTGCGTGTGAATTAGTCATTGGTACTTGATGTTTGTAACAACCACATATCCCGTGAAATCCCACGGTCTGTGGTGGCAAGAATGTACGCAAATTTTACCAGGTAGAGAGGCCGTTTCTGAAAGATACTCTGTGGAAATTGATGTCTTTAGGATCATGAAAACTGTTTTCCATTAATAGCTCATTTATTGTTTGTTAAATAATTAAATTATTAAAATAATTTTCTTTTCATTTTAATGCGACTACATGCTATTTTAGTAACTTGGACAGTTTATAGAATCTGAAAATCTATTTTTTCACAATATTAAATCAATAGAGATAACAACCAGCGAAGATGCGACTGAAATTTGAATTAATATATTTGGTTGATGGAACACGCAAAAATTGATGGTGCCTATGAAAGGTCAACTGTAAATTGGTTCAGTATAATCTGCGTGTGGTCAAAGCTGTCTATTGATGATATGGCGGTTTACCAGTAAAATTTTCCACGGATAGGATCTGAAGAGGGTAGATGAAAGACAAGGGCAAGCAACACATCGAAATCAGAATTAAAAGGAAAAATACAAAAAGTAATGAAGATATCATAAATAATAGAGAGGCATTTAAAAAAAATAGAATTAAATGTCATAAAAGTAATGATGATATCACAAATATTACAAGTTCCTAAAACTGATTTTCTTCTCGCACTTTTTTAAAAATAAAAAACAAAAAAAAAGAATCTCAATCAAGGAAAATGTGAAAAACATTAAAACTGGGGTGGGTGATGCCATGCCCCTATGCCTTCAATAGATAGAGATTGATGATTAAATTTAGGTCATACTCCAAAGAATCAAACACATAACAGAATACACACTAAAATAAGTGTTTACAAACACTTAATTTTAAGGTAAAATATTAAAATTAAGCCAAAAAGTCATAAGTTAGAGCTCACATTTATTTATTTTTTTAGTTCAATCATTGAATCATTAATTTTGATTTAAAAAACTTATTATAGTACTTTTTTTGTTTTGGCATAATGCATAAACATAACCCTTAACTTGACGTCAGTTGACAACTATGATCTTTAACTTTGGGTGTGCACAAGTAGGCACTTAAACTTGTATAAAATTGAGCAAATAGACACATTCGTCCTACATGGCACCCTACATGACAATTGTGTGTCCTACATGGCATCCTACGTGTATTGTGCCATGTAGGACACTTGTGTCTACTTGTTCCATTTTATACAAGTTTAGGTGCCTACTTGTGCACATTCAAAGTTTGAGAGCATAGTTGTTCGCTGAAGCCAAGTTAAGGGTCATGTTTATGTATTATATCTTTTGTTTTAATTTACTTGTTTCATTCTAGATTGATACAAAACCAATACAGTAAAAAAAGAAAAATTGAATCTTATAATCTTAAATACACCAAAATATTACTCCTCATTTTCAAAAAGAATGATCTCCTTTTTTTTTAGTCTGTTTAAAAAAGAATGAACTCTTCCTTTTTTTGGTAACATTTTAATTTCAGTTTTCCACATGGCATGTTTAAGGCCACAAGATTAAAGGACAATTTTGTACATTTGACATAATTTTAATTTAAGATCACAAAATTTAAAAGTCTTTTTTATTTTTTTAAACTCTATGTCAAGTCGAACTAAAACATTCTTTGTGAAACAGAGGGAGTAATATGGTTGAATTTCTTGTACATGCCCAATGGAATTTTTTACAATGAAAGGACTTGATGTAATATACGTATTGATGATGTTGGAGTGAAATCCATATGTGTCTGAAGAAGGGTGGGTACTTCATCTGTCACTGCCGATTTTCCCTCATTCCCTCACCTTTATTAAAAATAGTTTCCCCCTTTTTCTCCTCCTTCTTCTTCTTCACTTTTTTTCCCATTAATTAATCAATACATAATCTTGATCTCATCTCATTTATTTATAACGAACATAAACACAAAATTATTATAACTGTAATAACAATCCTTAATTAATCAATCCCAATTCCCCTTCTCTAATCATTTTTTCCTTAATCGGATAGTAAGGATGAAGAAGGCGACGGTGGGTGCCGTGGTGGTAGGTACAGCGGCGGCGGTAGCTGTGGCGGCGCTCATCATGCGCCACCGCATGGGTAAATCGAGCAAATGGGCACGTGCCAGGGCAATTCTGAAGGAATTCGAGGAGAAATGTGCCACCCCAGATGGCAAACTGAAGCAAGTGGCTGATGCCATGACGGTGGAGATGCACGCCGGACTCGCCTCTGAAGGCGGCAGCAAGCTCAAGATGCTTATTAGCTATGTCGATAATCTCCCTACTGGGTTCGTTACTCCTCTCAATTATTTAATTATTCTTTCTTGAAATAGAATTTATGTATTTAAAAAGTCATAATTGGGGGAAATGTTAGGATTATTTGTTATGTTACGAGAAATGATTAAAATCGTTTGATGACTGTATGAAATGTTTTGAAAGGTTAATTCTTTATGATTTAATTTGTATGCTTAAGCTTGGGAGTTATGCTATGTAGATATTGATTACCTGAATTTGTATTGCGGAATTCATAAGACCCTCCTCTGGTCTTGCTTTAACATGTTTTGTGTGCTCTAACAAGCTACTCAATCTAGAACAATGTTCAGAAAACGAAGGTTCTTTGAATTCCATCCGTAGCATCAGAACTGAATATGGTGCAGTGTATAGGTTGCTGCTCCAGTTCAAATGACCTGGTTTTGATTGTATTCCAGGGTCAAATCTCATGTCGAATGTATTATCTTTTGATTATATGGTCAAAAGTTAATTTCTTTATGATGATATGATCAATGCATTGCAGCTTAATCCCTCTCTCTATGCTTGTTGGACTGTTCTTTTAGACAGTTCTAAACTTTATTAAGAATTATCTTGTGGAGAGGGGTGAATTAATTATACATCGTGTTATGATCGTACTATGTCATTGGTTAAAGGTAAATATTTTAATATTTTTCTCTTTGGTAAATTTTGTATTTAGCGATGAAGGAGGAGTCTTTTATGCATTGGATCTTGGTGGAACAAATTTTCGAGTATTGCGGGTGCAATTGGGGGGAAAAGATGGTGGCATTATCCATCAAGAATTTGCGGAGGCATCAATTCCTCCAAATTTGATGGTTGGAACTTCAGAAGTAAGTTTTTGTCCACTCAAGATGTTGCTCCCTTTTCTGTTATTTAGTTTTGCGTGGATTTTGAACTTTTGAAGTTCATATGTTTCAGGCACTTTTTGACTATATTGCGGCAGAACTTGCAAAATTCGTAGCTGAAGAAGGAGAAGAGTTTCATCCACCTCCTGGTAGGCAGAGAGAATTAGGCTTCACCTTCTCGTTCCCAATAATGCAAACTTCAATCAATTCTGGAACTCTTATCAGGTGGACGAAAGGTTTCTCCATTGATGACACGGTATCCATTTCCTTCCCAACTACATCTTCTTTGTTGCTTTTCTTAGGCAATTGAAGTTTGATTTGTCGGAAAGACAACTTTGAGATACTTTCAATTTGAATCACTTATATGCTTTTCCTGTTCTAGACGTTTGGTTTTGGAGAACTTGACCTTTCTTTTGGTTAATGGTTTGATGATAGAGCACGACATCAACCATGCTTACCTTTTGATGCACTGGTTTCTTGTTATTTGAAACATTGAATGTAATGTATTCTTTGATGGTACTCACATTGTTTCCAATCAAAGAGAAGTAAATTCAAGCAAGTTACAGCAGTTGATTTTAAAACCATTACATTAACTATGTTAATCTATTGTAATTTTATTCTCAGTTTTTTTTGTCTTATTATATTTAATGAACTGAAAAATAAGCTCTCACAGTTACTGGGTGACAGGTTGGCAAAGATGTTGTTGCAGAACTGACAAAAGCAATGCAAAAACGAGAAATTGATATGAGGGTCTCAGCGCTTGTAAGTTTGCTTGATGTTGCTCAGTAGTAACACTCTTTTTGAAGGGCACTTGAATAAATTGTATGTATGTTACCTAGCTTAGTTGTAAAAGTTTGATTTTGAGTTACTTGTTGATGAAAGGTGAATGATACTGTTGGAACATTGGCTGGTGGTAGATTCACCAATAAGGATGTATCCATTGCTGTGATATTAGGTACTGGGACCAATGCAGCATATGTGGAACGGGCTCAGGCAATTCCCAAATGGCACGGTCCTCTGCCTAAATCTGGAGAAATGGTTTGGGAACTTTTCAATGACTATTGATCTTGTTTTGACTCTATTTCACTTTTTTGGTGATCAACCGTGGAATAGTTGTTGAAGTCCTTTCATGTTACTTCCTAGGTGATCAATATGGAATGGGGTAACTTTAGGTCCTCCCACCTTCCCTTGACAGAGTACGATCATGCTATGGATACCGATAGTTTAAATCCTGGTGAACAGGTAATTGCTTATCCACTTGTATACCTTTTGTTCATTTAGGCTAATCTCGATTTTGCAATTAACTCGATAAACCTGAGAGAGATATCTATTGATCCTGACAGATATTTGAGAAGATATGTTCTGGCATGTACTTGGGAGAAATTTTACGCAGAGTTCTACTTAGAATGGCTGAAGAAGCTGGCATTTTTGGCGAGGAAGTTCCTCCAAAACTCAAGAATTCATTCATATTGAGGTATTTCTTACTAACTATAGAGTTATTAGTGATCTTCTTGTGCAAAACACACTGTTAAATGCCCAAACAACTGCTAGGCAGTGTTTCTCGGGTCAACAAATTTGCCTGCATTCTGTTGCTGTTCTGGTTATCAGTTGATCAAGCTTGAGTATGGTAATATTGTTCATGCATTCATGAGCTTTCATTCCATTTTTGGTGCTTTACATAATTGCTTTGGCGCCATACCCAACTCACAATTCATATCAAATTCATTGTCTATTATGACTTGCTTGGTAACATGTTTCACTCTCTCCTATCCACTTTATTATTGAGCCTATTGTTTATTTTTCGCTTTGAAGTTGCAATGAAAATAATTTCATCCAATAACTAATATGCTACTGAGCAAGCATGCTTATTTACATACCCCATAATATTTGAGGATCAATCAACTCCAGATAATGGAACTTTGACAAGAAAAAGAGTACTGACAACTTCACCAAAAAAAAGAAAGAAAAAAAGAGTACTGAACAATGAGAGTTATCTATATATCACCTTAGTTAAAGCAATTATAACTTGATTGTGTGAGTTTCTAATTCTCAGGCAACACAGTCTATAAAGAATGTGCTACATTATATCCCTTCTTTAATGACATCCTTTGCTGTTTTAGCAAATGTGCTACAGTCACACAATCAAGCTATAATTGCTTTAACTAAGGTGATATTGTTAGCACCAAAAGTCGAATAGTCATTTGCTGTCCGCTTGATATCTGTCATGTTTACCTTTTTATATTCGAGCAGATGCTCTCATAACAGTTGAGAAAAATATATGCAGGACACCTGAAATGTCTGCCATGCATCATGACACATCCTCTGATTTGAGAGTGGTTGGCGACAAGTTGAAGGATATCTTAGAGGTATTAGCTCTTCCCCTTTATCAATACCTCCCAAGGAAAAAAAGAGAAAAAATGCCTTTTGATGTGGTGTGGCTATTATTCCTTCTACAAAAGTTTGCACAGTATCATTTCTTTGGTCATATTGCTTTGGAGCAAATAGAGAAATTGTTTTAATTAGGACTGATGGCAACGAATCAAATTTAAATTTTCGGTCTCAAGGAAGTGGAAATCAAATTGTTGATTTTTACTCCCTTACAGCAATTAGTTTTTTTGTTAGCATTTGATATGATGATACAACATGAATTGAAACTAGATATATTTTGTTCATCGTATTTCAGATATCCAATACCTCCTTGAAGACAAGGAGATTAGTTGTTGAGCTGTGTAATATTGTTGCAACACGTGGCGCCAGACTTGCGGCAGCTGGGATCTTGGGCATTATCAAAAAGATGGGAAAGGATACACCCAGGGAAAGTGGTCCAGAAAAGATTGTCGTAGCCATGGATGGCGGATTGTATGAACATTATACAGAATACAGTAAGTGCTTGGAGAACACTTTGGTTGAATTGCTTGGAAAGGAAATGGCCACAAGTATTGTTTTCAAGCACGCGAATGATGGTTCTGGCATTGGCGCGGCACTCCTTGCGGCCTCTAACTCCGTGTATGTTGAAGACAAGTGAGAGTGATCAAAATGATATTTAGCTAGAGGAAACTCCATTTACCTTTTATATTATGTTTTTTCTCTAGCCTTTTCTTTTTGGATTCTCTCTCCTTTTTGGTTCTTCTAACAATTATTTCCAGCATTTGTACTTGGTTTTCTAGGATATTATTCCTGGGAATGCCAACATATTTCTTCTGGAAAAGGGTGCAAAGAAATTATATGAAACTCAGCACTGCTTATTCTCCCCTTTGGTCTTTAGTTTTCCTACTGCAATCAAATTTTGTAGGGTTTAATAAAATGGGATATTATTTCATTGCTAGACTTATCTGGTTAGCTAACATGTTAGTTAAACCCGCAACTGAACATGGAACGAGGGTGCTTATTATCCAAGCAACTCTCTCTTGTCCATGTTGTTGTTGCTTCTTCATCTTTAGACCTTTGGGCCGATTTCAAACCATCGGTCTGCTAATGCTTCAACAACATACACACAGTAAAATTCCACGAGGGTAGAGTTATGTAAACCTCATTTCTATCTCAAGGAGTGTTTTGAAGGACCCTTTGGCTCAAGTGTAACGATTCTTTATTAGTTTTGACTATTCTTTATAGAGGTCCTAAAAACACCTATTGGATCAAAACAAAAAATAATGGTAGGTTTTGATGCTTTCTGTTTTGCTACATTTTCCATCTATACTCACAAAATAAAAGATAAATTTATATCATTAGATCAATCACAAATTAATAGTATCAAATAGAAGTTTTAATTAGTAAATTGACCTTTGATATGACAACTTAAATTAGAGTGCAAAAAGTCTTTCACAGTTCATATACACATGGTAATTAATATAACTCAAATTCAATCATGATATATTAAGTCTGTATCAAACATCGAAGTAAACGATAGTGGGAGTTGTTATCAATTTATAGATAAATAAAAAGACAGCGATTGATTAATGGCTGAACCAAATTTATGGTTTCATCTTTAAAAATAAAGTTATAATTTGTGGTCCTTTAGGGTCTTAAGAAATGGATGGATTTAGACAACTCTACTTTATTTTATCTTTTTTAGAGTATGCACCAAAATATATATTAATGTGTAAGAATTACTATTAAGGTTAATAAGATTAGATTACACGATATTCAATCGTACGCCATCGAAAATTAAGAACGAAAGATCAACTAATAATATCTTTAAGGTTTAAGCTTATACTCATAATTAGATAATTGACCTGCCACTCTCTTATTATTTTTATTATTATTATTATTATAGAATAATATAAAAATACTTCTTTTCAAATACAAGTCCAAATCTACTACTATTATTAGTAAAATATAATGGGTGATTGCAGTTCATGAGATCTACAGTATCTGAACCAATTAAAGAAAGATTTTTTTTTGAAATTTGAAAAGATAAGCTCTTATCTGTTACTATGTCTGAGAAATCGAGAGTTCCACTTCCACCATAACTAACTTACCATTTTTACCACCTGTAAATTAAAAGTTTATCAGTTCACAATTCTAGCCTTCTAAAATTAGTCTTAAAAATAATTTATTAATACTAGATTAAATTTTAAGACAAATATATTATTTGGACTAAGCTTAAATTACCTAGATCTCTAACTTTGATCCAGACCCTAATGAATCGTTTGGTAACACTAGTAAAAAATAATTCATGTACTAACTTCGGTATATAAGTTGTATTTCCTCTTTGCAATAATAATTATTTATTTTAGCTTTAACACACACCTTAATAAATAATAGAGATATTTATTATATTAACCTTTGAATATACTCCCTACGTTTTTTTACTTGTCATTTATTTCTAAAATAATTTCTTTTTAATCGTCACTTTTAATATATTAAGAAAAGATAATTATTTTTTCCATGTTTTACCTTCAGTATTAAATACTTATTCTCCAAATCATTTTTCAATACCTAATAGTAAGAGTCTGTTTGGCATTGCTGCTAAAAATTGCTTATTTTTAGAAGCGTTTTTTTAATTAGCTTTTCAGAAAAGTGTTTTTAAAAAAAAACAATTTGTTTTTGACAAATCAATTTAAAAAGTGTATTTGATAAACAATTTGTGTTTGGCTAATTATTTTTTTTTTTAAATGCTTTTGTGAGTCAAATCAAGAAAAATGACAAGTATCAATGTGTTTTTGATATTAAGATTATTTTATAGAGAGAAATTATTTTAAACATCTAATACAGACACTTTAATTACATTTTTAATTTAATTAATTAAAATGTACATAATCAAATTTTCAATCAATATTATACATAGATAAATATTGTTGAAAAATATTGAAAAGAGGAATCATTTTGTTATTTGTTACCTATTTTTTTTGGATTCAATCTTAGTTATATCCTTTTTTTTTTTGTTATCATACTCTAAAGTTTTAAAAAATTCCAATTAAAATAAAATAATGCGTAAATTAAGAAAAGAAATTTTTTGTTATTTGTTAATTTTTTTTTGGAGGGTCTAAATCTTTAAGTGTTACTTTTTCTCTTTTCCTTAATCCTGCAAAAATATTGTTGTTACTTTTATTTCTAATTCTCTAAAATAATATGAAAAATAATATATACAATATAAAATATAAATAATAATGTAAAAACATAAATAAATAAAAAATTATCATATAAAAATAAAAAAATAAAATTCAAGAAAATTAACCAAACTTATGAGATATGTTAATTAATTAATAAGGGAGACATTGATAAATATGTATATATGTAAGTGATATTTTAGTCTTAAAAACAATTTTCTGCTTCTGCTTTTTTAAAAAGCAGAAATTTGTAGTTTCCTCCCAACAGCAGAAAACATGTTTTTGCTTCCATTTAAAAGCAGTTTCAAAGATTCGCCAAACACTTAATTATTATTTTTTTTAAAGTGTTTTTTCTCAAAAAAATAAAATAATTCTAGTCTCCCAACAACAATGCCAAACATGTTCTAAACATCATTTAATATGGATAGTTTGGTAAAATACTTATATCAATAATTATTTTCTTAATGGGTGTGACAAGTAAACATGATCGGAGGGACTATTAAATCTAATCATTTGAAAAATGTATTAGATATTGATAGTATTTAATAATGAAGGGTTAAATAGACATCAAAATGTAAATTATCTCTTAATTTTTTAAACTAAACAAGTATTGTTGGAAAACTATTTTTAATAAAATGAACAAGTAAAGATGGGCGGATCAAGTATAATGTTCTATAGCTAGTTATGAAAGTTATTTATGTATAAAACAAATGTAGTATTGTTTGTAATTTAGAAAATCGATTAACCGATGCATTAATATGTTATGAGAAAATATATACTATTATTTTATATGAGGATAGAAGATAAAATAACTATTACTTATAAAATAAACAATTTATGCAGAGTTTAGTTATTTTATTTATAAAATATATATAAATGCCTTCAATTATATATATGTACTCGTTAGGCGAATTTGTAAAGCATAAATATTATCGTATTAATTTTATGTAGATTTTACACTAATTTCATAATATTAAGAGTTAATTACATCATATCTATACTCTTTTCCAAATTATAAAAATCTTTTAAATTTGATGAAACCCGTATACATCACAAAAAGCCTCAATAAATCACATCTCGATTTTGAATACATCCCTCAACGTCCTGATACATCGTGTCTCAGTTTCGAATACATCACTCAACGTCTCGACATATTGTGTATGCACTGATACATGCGTAAAATGATGTATCCAATCTATACATCACCCGATACATCACGTAAAGTAAAGTTTTGATAAATAGCGTACGTCCTGATACATTGCGTAAAATAATGTATCTAACTTACATGATGTATTCGACCTATATATCGCATAAAGTGATGTATCCAACTCATTACGTAAAGTAGAAATTTTTGTAATTTTTTCAAATGCTCAAAATTTTAAAAAATATAATAAAATAAATTATGTATAATTTTTTCATAATTTTATAGGTGAATAATTTACATTTTAATCAGCTGCTATATGTGGCTTCAAAACGAGCTACAAAACAACCCCTAATACCATAGGCTGCTCCTTAATTCAAAATCCCCGGATTTGTAGGAAATTTGAAAAAATAAAACTCCTTTGTATACCACGTCAAAACAAGTAAGCAATTAATTACGTTCTAATATCGAATTAATTGGAGTGATTATATAAACCTTTTCATACTTAGATATTTTTACTCCTCTCAGTCCTCCTCGGCTTCCAAAAATATACTTAAAGAAAACAGAGAGATCTGCTTTCTCCCCACCATTTCCTCTGTTTCTTCCAATAGTAATAACTCATTGGAAGATCTTCAATGGCAGAGTTTTCTGAACAAATCGTTTTAAGTCAATGAAAAAATCAGCTGCTGATACGGAGACCCATATCGGAGGGATCTTTTTTCTATTAACACCCTTTTTGGCTCGTACACAACTGAAGTGATCAAATTTCAAGCTAACATTTTTGGTAAGTGCTTTTAATGGTGGTAGTGAAAAAAAGAAAAAATTACAGTACAAATTCATTTTTGGGTCTGTTAGCAAATCCCGTTTTGGATGTTTCTTTTTAATAGCTCAAGAAGAAGAAAGCCTTATAATGGGTCTCTGTTATATCCACAACAAATTCACGGGGGTTGTGTCAGCCGCTGAAAAATTTGGTGGTGGGGTGAAATATTTCTTCATTTTTATTTTATTTCACGTTGCTCCAGAAAGTTAAAGAGAGAGAGAGAGGGAGTAAAGTATCTTTGAGATTATTAAGGTAAAAAAAGTGAAGAAAGTTTGTTTCTTTTTTAAAAATCTTTAATTCAGTGGGCTATAGAGAAAAATTAACAAGATTGGTTTTTCTTTTGAAGTTTCATGCATTTTTGGTGATTATTGCTACTTTTTGCAGTTTTGATGATTTTGTCTGTTAAATTTGAGTTTTTTGACCAAGAAATGGGTTTGGGGGTGCAGGTAAATGATTATGCTTTATGTAAGTTACTTGAGTTTCTTACTGGTGGAAGTTATAATACCTTATTTTTGAACTGCAGGAGGAGGCAATAGTTTGAACCAATTTAAAAAATCGTAGTTCAAACTTATTCAATGATTCTTTTTTCTTTTTTGGTTCTGTAGTTTATTGTTTGTTTGGTGGTGAAGTTTCGTTCAATCTTTTTTGCCCCCATTATATTAATATTTTTTTTAAAACATATTTGTTGCTGCCACACCTTTTTGTCTTGTTTCTCAGTTCTTCACGAGGTTGTGTCAGTATGAAATTTTTTCCCCCAAAAAATAAAAATCCAATCTTTAACCCAAGTATTAATTATTATATACTGT